ACGTGATTTTAAATAAATAAATAATTTAAATTCGCGTTTATTCGCGCCAAGAATACTTCTACCACGCTTCGCCACACCTTATGTGAGACTTTAATATTGCATGTGCACTTTTAAATAAGTTCCATGCACCAACTGCGGACCGGCCTGATGTTAAACAGTTCTTAGAATTGGCTAAAGCTAGATTGAATACAATAAATCATTTGGGTGCGTACATACAAAATGAAAATATTAATAGAAGGAGGAAGGAGGAAGGCCATATTCCTAACCGTAGATGCTGAGCATCCACATTTGGACACATTTCCAAGACTTACGTTACATGATTTGATGACAGCAGCTCTAGGTTCCTTTCTACCAGTTAAAGCTGGCTCGTTCGTGCTATGGGGAGCATGTCCGTAGAAACGAAAAATAGGAAATAGAGTTAGCAAACGACATTGAGGATGCCATTGATACTGAGAACGGACAAGTATTTAGAGGTAGTAAGAGGGTGAATTAAATCATGTCATGTTAACAGTAAGGTGAACTACGCATACATTTATGTCAATCACTAGCTGTATGTAATCGAATAGTAGGATGCTGCGCACACGTAATGACTATTTTGTGGTACTGTACCACAAAATCAGAAAGGCCAGAAAGGCATACGAATATCAAAATCACAGTACTCGTGACAAGAACGCGGGAGCGGGGTGTGGGTAGCGAGGATAGGTTTTTTTTAAGGGAGAAAATCTTGGAGTGAGTGTTCCCGCCTGGGTGAGGCGGGAGGGAGTGTCAGACTCTTACTGGCTAAAAACCACCCCGTTCCTTCTTCTGCACGTCGAGCCGGAGCCCCGGTAACCCGTTGCGGGGATAGGTAGCTTGGTTCTCGGAAATTCAGTCGCCATGGAGCGTTTCATCGGTAAGCAGCGTGCGTTTTGTGTGAAGGCGTATTACAAAACTGGCGATTCGTGCATTATTGCGCGGCGTCAATTTCGCTCGCATTTTAATTTACATGACTTTAACCAATGTCCAAGTGATAGGGTTATCGTGGGTCAGAAAGTTTAAGTCTACGGGTTCGACATTAAATGAAAAGCTTGCGGGACGTCCAAGGTCGGTAAGAACGGAGGAAAATGTTAGCGAAGTTATGACGTCGTACGTCGCACGGCGTGATCCCCAACAGTCGGCCCGAAAAAGATCAGCTGAGCTCAGCTGGCGAGCTCGCCATATCAAGAACAGAAACAGAATATAGACAAAATACGCCTTAATGAAGGCGTATTTTGTCTAAAGATCTTAAATTACACCCGTATAAGCTACAATTAGTCCAGGAATTGAAACCAAATGACCACTATTTACGTCGTGAATTCGCCGAAACAATGTTATAGCGATTTCAAAGTTTGAACAATTTTATGTGTCAGTGAACTTAGCTGATCATTGTCCAGCAGATCAAAAATAAATGAGAGTTCTCATTGCATGCAGCTATGTTCTATAGTTCCTGATACCTTTTAGAAAGAGTTCCGGTGTTTTTACCTTAAAAAAAGACTACTGAAAAAATGATCTGCCAACTTCCGGCAGCAGATCATAAATAAACGTCAGTTCCTATCACATATGAATTAGTTCTACAGTTCCTGATAATTTTTAGACATGGTTCTGGCGTTTTTACCTTAAAAAAAGACAATTGAAAAAAAAAAAGATCCAGCAGATCAGAAATAAACGTGACTTCTTACCGCATGCGAATAAGTTCTATAGTTCCTGAAGGTTTTCAGAAATTATTGTAAAGGGCTACAACTGTTCCCATCCCTGGAACTCTTTTGTTTCTCACAGATCCGTATCAGAACTACAATCTTAAAAGTGCCAGCAGAGCATGCCAGAAAGTCCAAAAAAGCAAATATTATCAATTTCAGCACTTCGAATGATATTGTAAAGGGCTACTACTGTTCCCATCCCTAGAACTCTTTTGTTTCTCACAGATCCGTATCAGAACTACAATTTAAAACGCTAATCGAGTCCAGAACTCCCTTTGAAGTGCCAGCAGAGCATGCCTGAAAGTGCAAAAAATCAAATATTATCAATTTCAGTACTTCAAATGATATTGTTATACCCTTGAGGAGTTCCCTTAACAATTACACTTCTCAGCATCAGACCCTTAATGACAGCCCCACTCTATCTAGGTGTAAAGTCTTCATCAATACAAATTAATCAAGCCCAAAAACAAGGTAGTTACTGTATACAGTTGAGGAGTTCCCTTAACATTTACACTTCTTCATCATCAGACTCTTAATGACAATCCCACTCTATCTAGGTGTAAAGTCCTCATCAATACAAATTGATCAAGCCCAAACACAAGGTAGTTAATATAAACCGCTGAGGAGTTCTCTCGACTGCCTGTCGGCTCCATCATCAGGTCGACTCCAGACCCTTATCAAATTGTAGCGTTTATAAATCATAATTGAAAAATATAATAGACGCATTACTCGCCCCTACAATTTTCTAAAGTTCCCCTTGGTTTCCCTAGGATTCAATCATCAGATCCTGACCTCATGAAAATGGTACCATATCGGGAGTATACCCTTTGAAACAAAACAAGAATTTTGGAAATCGGTTCACAAATGGCCAAGTAATGCACGAACACAAAAAAAACAATCAGACGAACATAGTACCTCCTCCTGTTTTGAAATCGGTAAAAAATGTAATAAGTTCCAAGTAAAACTAGTTCCGATATTGAATACTAGATGGCGTTGTTAGTTTATGTCCCATTTCTGAATCGCGATGTTAAGATTTTCCGCCGAGTAATGTGACAAGAAGCTGACACAGGCAGATACAGACCAGAAAATTATGGATATTACTCTTCAACTTCATCACATACAGAACGCCCTTCAGAATCAACAACAACTCAGCTTCCATCAACTTCTACTACTTCGACAACTTGGCATCTTTCCCCGACACCAAAATCACCACCAATTTAAATAACATATATGAAACTTTTACCTAGGTAAGGTGAAAAGTTCTCGGCCTGACACAGAAATGGCGTTCCAATCAGTAAAAATGTAGGTTTCCTGCCTTGAAAAATAATAAAATAATAAAAATCGCAGTTTTTCATTGCCAGGCCGAGAACTTTTCACCTTGCCCTCGTATATATTCTTAAGCATAAGCTAAGTTTGAAATAAGGAGTTTAATATTTTTAATATACATATATAATTTCACTTACTTTTACATAATCCTTCAAAACCTCGATGATTGCTTCACAAACCTCAGGAACAATTTTTGATATTGACTGTTTGGACACTCAGAATCGCCACTTGCTAAAAATCTTAGTGTTATTAGTAGTCTTTCCTTAATAGTTATGGCATCACGATAACTTGTATCATTCTTTCTAATTTTGTTCTGCAATAGTGAACACAATAAGTTAAATTGATTTGAAG